AGGTTGGGGAAGGCTGATCTACAATATCTTGTCTTTGAAAAGCCTTTACATGATGCCAGCCCACAAGAACAGCTACAACACTAGGGCTTTTAAGTTGATAGCCACATTTATTAGCAGATTTCTGGGAGTGTCAGTATCAGAGGAGCATGGAGGGACCTTGTAAAATGCAAGACTTTGCTCTATACATCCCTGGAGCCATCAATATCCTCCTGGCTTGATCATGCTAACTCTTTGACAGGGTAGAATCTGAGAGTACAAGCATTATTTTGGAAGTCTTGCCGCCAAATAAACAAACAAATAAATAAATAACACTACTGTTTTTGCCAGGAAAGGAAAGGGGCTTGTTTTGTACTTCATTCAGGACTACTTGAAGGAGGTATGGAAATACTGGAAGCCTGCCACTGAGTTTCAAAGAGCCTTACAAAGGATACATCATTGCAGTGCTACATATGTACTCTGTTTCCTCCCTCTATTTTCTTTGCTCATCCTACTTTGCTTTAGGGAGTATGCTAGAAAGATGTAAAAACTAAAGTAGGTCAATTTTGGTTCTCCTGGTACTGCGGAGGGAAGGCAGCATGTGGCACAGAATAGATCTTATCACATTTCTCCAAATTCCAAGCACTGCAGAAATTCAAGGAAATGTGCATTTGCTGACTGAGGGTCAACTTCTCTTTGTGTTCAGTCCTTACTTACTCAGAAGACCTTGTAGTGGCAGCTGAATGCACTAAACCACATTCGGAGTACATAAAAAGTAGGAATCTGATGTGACAGGGCAATTAACTGTACAGCTTGGTCGTCTCAATCAAAATTCCCATGATAATGAAAAATTGGAAGGGATTTTTCCTATGTGGCCATTTATCTTGTGGCAAATGAAACTGCTTGCTTTCCAAGTGAAACACTCTCAGGGATTCTCTTCCAAAGGTCTTCAAATAAAGTACAATGAGCAAAAGAATGAGAGATTGTGCCAATACATGCACAAAAACATGCAGAATGGGAAATTTATCGATATGGCTGCAAATCCGAGTCCTGATACACTATGAGCAGCAAAACCAAATTTCATTTAATTGATTCTGTACCACCATCCAAGTATAATAAGGAATAAAACTGGTTCAGTTATACTGATATCCCACATTTGAAAGGAAAATCTCTCTGTTGGTGGAATGTACACAGAAGGAGAGAAATCTGTAAGAATGCCAAGCTCACAGCTCTGCACTGGGTTGATGGGATTCATATCAAGAGATCTGATTGATTGAGTGATTGATTGATTGCATTTATATACCACCCAAATAGCCCAAAGGGCTCTCTGGGTGGTTTACAAACATTAAAAACCCCAAATTATATTTGTTGCTATAATTTGTAAATGAGGAGTTCCCTGATTATCTGAGGGAGTTGCTTTTCCCGTGTGAGCATCCATCTGTTCTTTGGCCTTGCTATCACACACTGAAGCTACCTGACCTTCCCAAGAAGAGCCTTTCAGTTGCACTGCCAGAACTTCAGAGCTCTCTTCCTCAGGAGAGGCCAATGGGTCCACATTTGCTCCCTTTCTAGAGCAGGTTAAAGCGATTCCATCGCATCCTGCTCTGCTCTGTCCTGTTCCTCCTAGATTCTATTCTGCCTTGTTATTAGCAATAGTAGCTGTCATCCTTATAGAAGTAATAGTAAAATGAAGTGAGAGAGAATGGAGAAGGGGGACATATTTTTAAAGGGAATATGGAAACCGCCTATTGATTTTCTCTGCCTTAATTCTTGGAGATGATGCGGGGCCTCTCAAATCTATAGTAAAAAATAAATGACAGATTTGATAGACTGAGTAGACATCTTTCAAAAAGTGGCATGGATAAATGGAAATTATTTGAAGCATGAATAGATGAGATGAGACTGTTCTTTAGAGATGGCAAATTAATAAGTGTCTGTGCTGAGAAATGAGCGGTGCCACGGCAGAGAGGCGTGGAAACCAGCAGGCTCATCAGGCCTCACTAAGGTCACTGGGCCTCCTGTGGTACGGCCGACTCAGGGGATGGAAATTGGCGGTTCCGGGAAAGGGACTGGCTCTGCCTGGTGTCTCAGGCTTGGTGAACATGGCAGGAAGGAAAAGCACAGCCCTGGCAGGTGCCCCAAACTTGCTCCCAGCAGTGGCCGGTCCAGATGCTAATGGGAGGCCTCCATCAGGGCAAGGTTGTCCAGCTTTCCCCTGCATGTACTTCTCTTCCCAGCAACTGGTTTTCAGAATACCATCCCTGAATTTGAAGCTAATGCCCATGCCCCATAAACTGCTCCAATCCCATAGGCTCTGGGCTGTGAAAACGGCAAAGTGGCAGAGAATTAATTAATTTGATCAAGAAGTACTCCAACTCCCATGATCTCCAGTCATTGTAGCTGGCAGTCAGGAATTACAGGATGTGCTGCCTAGCAAGACTGGGAGGGTCAATGCTTCCACCCTTGCACCAGGATGGGCAGATGCCAAGAACACTTTAAGGACTGGACAGAAGTGGGGACTTCTGCAGATGCATCTTCACATGCAGGAGCCAAGGGAAGGACATTTGCAGAAGTTCCTTCTTCTCCCCAGGTGGGTTAGGAAGTGCTGAGGATGTCTTCCTCACTGGCCATATTAAAAATACCCAGAACTTATCCCCTTATTTTGGCACTTGAGCCAGAAACCTCTCCTCCTCAAGTGCCTCTCCTCCTTCCTAGCTATAAAACTGCAGCAATTAGAAATGCAAAACACACACACACAAAGCCCTAACAGCTTGCTGCTCTTTCATGGCACCCAAAATCAGCTGTGTGTGTTAGCCACCACATTTACCTAATGGCACTGGGCCAGTTCACACAATCAAGCAGCCTATTGTAGCTTATTTAAGCCACAATGTGCTGCAGTGCAGGTGGCCAATTGGAATATTTAAGCCATTCCCACAATTTGTCATATCCAAACCCAGTGTGGGTGAGTTACTGGCATGGTTAACAATTCCACCTACAACACTGAAGCCCATAATTTGTTAATCATCCTGTGAACAGCTCTTAAAATGACAATGCCCTTGTTAAAGAACATTAACCACTGCGGGTTCCTCAGGGAAAATGGAACCCACCGTCTTCCATAGCCTCCGTATCCACAAGATTCTCGAGGTAAGCTCAAACAGCCTTTATTTGTAAGTCTTTGCCTTTAGTTACCCCACTGAAGCCCAGCCAGCCCAGAGGGACCCTTCCCCTCTTCCCAGCTTTGCATCCCATAATGCCCAACAGTCTTGGTCTGAAGAACTTACCCTTCAGGTTGCACACCTCCTTGAAGCAGGGCTTGCCTGTCCCTGTGGGAGAGGCTTCCCCAGCCTCCCTGTGCTTCCCTACCGGGAATTAGGTCCAGGCTTGGAGATGCCCACAGTCCTTTCCTCTATCCCTGCTAGGACTGTCCAGACTCCTTGCAAAAGGAAGCCAGGGCAGTGGACTGCAGAAGGGACCCTCTCCTTTCTCCTGGTGTGGCATCCAGCAATTCCCTCTCCTCCTTCCAGCCCCCTCTCCTGCTCCATCCCAGAACTTAATAGCCTGTTCTGTATGAGTCAGAATCTCCTCTCCCCCAGCTGGGCTGGACTAACCTCTGCAACTGGAAGCCCCCTCAGGCAGCCTTCCATTTCAGCTTTATTCTCCTACCTGGCTGCTTGAAATCTACAGACAGAGCATCAGGGTGACTTGACCCAGAGAGTCCTGGCAGCCTCTCACACATAGCAACAACCCACCTTTGCCAAGTGTGAAGGCAAGACAAGCCACATTTGACTATTCAGACTAGCCAGCCCAACTCAGCACATGTTGCCTTATTTTGGCAACATCCCTGAGCTACACAGGGAAGCCACTTCCTGTGTTTCTTTCTCATCCCCAGCAGGGCAATTCATCTATTAGTCTCTCATTTTGCAATATTAGAAACTGTTGGTATATATTGAAGCATGTTTAGTGGCTTTCTGCAGAGAATTCTAAAGTAATTCCCTCAGTAGTTAATGTTCTTTAACAAGAACATTGTCATTTTAAGAGCCGTCTATCATTTTTTGTATTAGAGCTTATTTTAAAAAATCAAATAGAATTCGTTTTGGGAATCGGTAACCAAGGTACAGCTTTAATATTCCCATTGAAGTATTATGACTTCAATACAACATTAAAGAGCCCTTCATCAGAACAGTTTTTCCCACCACCACCCTCAACATTAAAAGAACTCTCTGTTCTCTTTGTGTCTAAAAAAACCCCACCCATGCACACGAACTAGGATCAAAATGACAATGATAAAATAGTGATACAGCATCTGTTTTTCATTTGGGGTTTAAAACAAAAGAGCAAATTGAATTAGCATAAATAATTTTAATGGGAAATTAACCGTGCAATCATGTGGTCTGTAGGAGTGTAGCTCAGGGAAAACAGGATACTGCAGCTCACCCACTACTTGAATGCAGAGGGAAGGCCATCAGTGGGGAAGGAGGTCATCCCTTGGACATCTCCCCCAGATAGCAGTGGGGATTTCCACTCCTGTGGCTGACCTGCCAGTGGTGCCCAAGAAAACAAGACTGGGTTTCTCTGAGGGGTTGTAGGAGATAACTGAAGATTGGTGAGGTCCCAGGAACCCTTGGAGGTATTGGGAGAGAAGGCAGGGGAGAAATGCCCCCCCCCCCCCCGCCGTTCTGCACCTTCCTGCATGAACCAGCATGGATAAGGAACTGGTGGTTCACTGCTGGGGACCTTCTACCACCATGGACTAGGAATGGCTCTGTCCATCTGCTAAATAGTATATATGCCTGATAGTTAAAAGGACAGCACAGAACTCTTAATCAGCTATTTTATAAACCAATCCATCTAACATTTTCGGTTTTAAGCAAGTGCCATTCAAATATTCCAGTCCTGAAATCTGCAACATCGGGAAGTGAGCACAGAATGCAGAGTGCTGGCATAACCATGCAGTAATTCATGCTGCTTACTCAAAGGCTGCCACCTTTTCTATACAGGTTTCCCTTCTGTGCAAGCAGCAGCAGCCTAATAATTGATTTCCTGGTTTGGAGAGAAGTGGTGGGGAAGGATTCCATTATTTATTAAATTTATATCCTGCCTTTCTGCCTGAACATGTGCTCAGCAGAGCTCACAATAGTAACATACAAGTTAAAAACAGGATCTTAATTCAAACATGATTTAGAACCATTAAAAACACAGTGAAAATGAACCATTAACACTCTCCCCTTCAGTGGCAGACCCGTTTGCATACTTTAAGGCCTGCCTAAGAAAAAACATATTTGCCTGCTAGCTCCAGACCAGAGCTAGTAAGAAAATGGTAGCAAGCTCCAATAAGTTGCATGGCATTCTGCATGATTTTTTCTCTTCTGGCCTTGTTTTGTTTTGCTAGCACTATGGCAAAGGGTGTGATTCCCATTAGAAGTAAACACCGTCATGTTTAAGGCAGCCACTTTAAAATCAAGGCAGTTTAACTTGTTGGCGGATTACATTTGTGTATTACAGTTGCTATAAAGCATAAATGTACATCCCCTTTCCAGGATCGGAAAGTGTGATTTCATGACTTTTTCATGCTGCTTTTTACAGCATGTCATATTCAGTACTCAGCTTTCATGTCTAAAGTGATTGTAAACATGATCATCATGGATTATAGGCTGCAACATTGCACGAATCCTTGTCAAGGAATTGAGTCACAGATCCAGCCCTTTTATTCCATCAGCTTAAAAAAAATCCCCATGACATTCCTCTGCGTTCAAGTTTACCTAGGTGCACAACTCAGGCAAAGATGAACCATTCCTGGCACCATCCTAGGCAGATTTTTCTGAAAAGCTATCTGACAACTCCCAAGCTGGCTTGGAAATGCTTATTGCTGGAAGTTGTAGGACTTGTTTTCTGCCTGCACCTGCTTGGGATTGTCCCCTTAAGGGTGAAGATCGAATGTGTGATGAAAGTGACTTGAGTGTATCTTCTCCACCCAGAAAAGCAATGCCTTCAAAAGTAGCCCAGCCATTTTGAACCTTGGGCCTGGGAGCTGAATATGGCCTGCTTCAGGTTCGGCCTGTCCTCCCAGCACTTCCAGATGGCTACACCCCATCCCCTCCCCCCTGACTGCCTAACTGTTTGGTGGTTTCCCAGCTTTTACATTTCCCCCTTCCCCATTCTATGTAAAAATGCTGAAATGCATCCCCTGAGGCTGACTGACTGGCGTTCAGAGTTTGAAGCTGGTATTTGGGGCCCACCCCTTTTCCTTCAGCCCTGCCACCCACTGGAATGGGGTTCCCAAGGGCTTCTCCAGAATCAAACGTGGAATGTGTGTGTTGAAAAGGGCTGAAAGACCTTTGCCAGTGTAGCAAATGTGTATTCAAACATCTCACGCTCCCTCAGACTGAGTCAAACCCTTGGTCCAGGTAATAGCCTGCTCCAACCCGGTTCCTTCAGATATTTTGGACTTCAGCTCTCAGCAGTTCCAGCCAATATGGGCAACAGTCAAGAATGCTGGGAGTTCTGGAAAGACCAGTCTATGCTGACTGACACCAGCTGTCCAAGGTTTAGGACTGAAGTCTTTCCCAGCCCTGCTCATAGATGGCAGAAATTGAACCTGGATCCTTTAGCATGCAAAGTATAAACTCTGCCATGGAGCTAGAGGCCCAGCTTGCCTGCCTGCCCACCTTCGCTCCAGGCCTCTCTGATTTCAACAAGAGAGATTTAAGGAGGTGATTAAGTTTCCTATCAAAAGTTTTGAAAAGCTTAATTTTGGCTGGATTCTTCTCCTGAGCTGTTGCATTATCAAGCCAGTGAAATTTCACCGTCATTCTTCTTTTACTGATGTCAAAAGCTAGACAACCTGGTTTGATGAGCTGGCACAAATTTGGCAGGTCTCCTCTGTGCCAGGGCATTGTGCCAGGGATGACAAACAAAAGACTAATGCCTGGTACATCACAGCAGGGCTGGGCAGAGCTACTTCCTAACTCAGTTCTGTATGGGCAAGGAGGGGAGTTACTGCAGTACTGTGGATGTTGTATCTGCCCTGTATTCTTAGGACATTTCAAATAACACATAGACAGCTGCAGGTGCACAAACCTTTTGGTTTGGCTCATGATCATAAAGCGTTAGAAGGGGATTGCGACTGACAGAGAACATAGGAGAAGAGGAAACGTCCCACTTGCATGAGACAACATGCAATTTGTGAGAACAAAAATCTCCAGGCACAGTCTGTTGAGGATATCATTAAGACTGGAGTGTTCAGCCTGGTTCACCTGACCTGTGATCCCTGCTTGATTGACCATAGATGTACCCATCTTCAGCTGGCTTGTGATGCATTTCAGAGTGCCCAGAGAAGTCAGCGGTGTGATCTGGTGCCTCTGAAATGGAGATTGGAGAAGTAGCCAGTGCTGTTTAATGGAATATGTCAGCCCTATTGTGAATCACTGGAATTTGGCAAGTCACAGCAGTGACACGTCCAACCCTTTACATCAAGAATGAGCAGAAAATAGACAGCCAAACATTCTGGACTTCAGCCTTCAGCATTCCTGACAATTGCCCAAGTTGGCAGAAGGGCTTCTGAGAGATGAAGTCTAATACATACATTTTGCCCAGCCCTCTTCACATGTAAAGGTTACAGTTGGTTGAAAATAATTCCAAATAAATACATATGACAAAAAATCACAAATGGCAGCTGATCTATAAAGCTCTTCATCCACTAATTAAAATTAGTAACTTTTGTTTTTCTTTTGAACTGAAGATCAAGATAGGGTAAAATCTAATTTGGATCGCACTGTTTATCTTCTATAAGAGTTGCTTTATGTATAAGCCCAGTCCAATCTAACTACTTGTTTATCTGTTTATCTTATCCAGCATTAATGTATGCAAGCATTTTTGGAAATGTATCTGCAATAATCCAAAGACTGTATTCAGGGACTGCACGGTATCACATGCAGATGCTGCGTGTAAAAGAGTTTATACGCTTTCATCAAATCCCAAACCCTCTGAGGCAGCGACTTGAAGAGTATTTCCAGCATGCATGGACATACACAAATGGCATTGACATGAACATGGTATGTGAATCTGCTTTTGACAACTCAAATATGTATGTTCCTAATGGCACAGAAGGAAGCATAAGTCTCATGACTTTGGATGGCCTTAGTGATCCGAGTTCACAATTTGCTCCAGGGTTTTGGTCCACATTCACACCATTCTATATTTTTGTTGTATCATGTTAACAGCCATTAATTGATCAATGTAATGTGGGATAGCTTCATAAACCATTCCCACCCTTTTTGGGCAAATGTAGTGGCTTGGCAGAATCTGGATTTGGCCATAGGGCTTAGTTAGTCTATATAATTTCTAAAATCCTTCCCTACAAAGCCTGCTTCAGAGCCCTCTTGGCACAGATCACATGAGCGATTACACTGTTATTCCCTATCAGGTTTAGCCATTCCACAGAAAACATCAACTGCAGCTTTTTTGCTGGAAGGACGATGGGTGATAAAGGGTAACACGCAATAAGAAGCAAGAGATGTTTCAGTGGACAATGGAGAGATGCCCTGAGATGCTTAAGGGACAGAAATCACTTTAGGGACAGCTGCATGCTTCTTGAGTTGTTTCTTTTACTGAAAAGCAGACTCAAAGACATCAATTGAAAGCAGAAGCACAAAGTAAGGAGTGGTACATAATCCACTCTGCCTTGCAGGGAGAAAAGCAGCCGGTGTGTGTGGGTGTGCCCATATATGCACAGGTGGGCACACACATACAATATCAAGCCCACAGGAAGAGAACTGACTAATTGGCCTCTCTCTCTGTTCTTCTCCATTGCTGACTGCAAGGTTGCTTTTCAGTAAAAGGAAACGTACCTTCAGAGGAAAGAAGCATGCCAATGCATGTAATGTATTTGGTCCTAAATCAACCAGAATTTTAAAACTTGATCCATGTACTATCATTGGTAAAGTGCTTTGTTTCAAATCACTTGGGTTGTGCTGAAATAGGACTTAAAGAAGCTTTTGATCCTGATACTTTTTTAATGCTATCCTTTTCACTCTGGTGTGACAAATGTATATGTCTCTTCAAATGGCTGGAGCCCATATATTTTGTTCCATGCCCTGGTGTGGGGAAGGACTGTGGACTCTTTGCTCAAGCTAGAGCTAACAACATGTGAAGGCTCAGGTTTGGGAATGGGAATCCACTAGACTTCCTCAGCTCCACAGGCTTCAGCCTGCTTTCCCTCTGTCCTAAGCCGGCCTTGTAGTGCAAAGCACTTGCATGGCCATCTCAGAGGAACTAAGTCCACAAGGCTGGCTTGCATACATCCAGTTTGGTGTGTACACACCTGCTCTACAAGTGGACTTCTGCTTCCACAAGTGTGACTTGTGAGCTTTGCATAAAGAACTGTATATCTTGCGTACTTTGCTCAAAGAAGGGTTTGCTAGCATTCCTGAGCACTCAAAGAATTGTGTGCTCAGCTTACCTCCTCGCCAGGGCCAAGTGTGGGAGAGAAGTCCAGCAAGAGCAAGAGAACCGTATTCTGGCTGGATCTTCTCATCCCTAGCTAGATCCCTCCATATGATGAAGCAATGGCTTTTGAAGCTGAGGTGTTTCAAAGCAGTTTGTGATATGGCCTCCAGGGGTTCAAAAACCCCATTGGGTACACAACGTATTTAAACTATCTTATGCTGGAGCATTGCAGAGTATGATCTTAGTCGGAAACTGTAGGTTGGTTCTTGGAGGGAAAAAACCAGAAGTAATAATTTGAAGCACAGTTTTTCAATTGCTTCCCCACTCCTTTGTCAAAAGGAGAAACCAAAATCAGAATTCCTGTTAATGGAACTTCAAAGCCTGAGCATAGAAACCTCTGGCTTCTACATATAAATCCAAGCTAGTATATTCTAGATTTGGGCTTATACTATAAGCCCAAGCTAACCTTGAACTTCTACATATGACTTCTGCATAAAAGCCCAAGCTGACTTATGACTTTCCACATACAAGCATAATAATACATAATACATTCCACACTGTACCAAGTGAGGGTGGTAGGATTTGCAAAAATATCCATTCCAGGCTTAGAAACAGAGGAAGCTGCCTCATACTGACGTAGACTGCTGGCCCATCCAGCTCCACTCCAGGGTTTCAGAAGGGAGCCTTTCCCAGGCCTACCTCATGATGCCAGAAATGGAACCTGGTGCCTTAGGCAAACCAATCATGTACCTTAGCTCTTAGCCAGGACCCTTTCCCTTTCCCTTTCTCCAAAAACAATGTTCTTTTCCTTGGGAGCATGATTGGAAGAATAATGCATCAACAGTATCCATTTGGCATGAACCTATCAAAGCTTTTGGAAAGAATTATTTCCTGCATCTGATGAGTACTTTCATATTCAAGAACACAAAGACTTTCCTAAATTTCAGTGTGAGAGCAAACTACACTCCATAGGACAGTTTTGGCTAGGAAATTGTATCAGATATTTATTGCTTTGTACATAAGCTGTTATTAGAGGATGTGTTTCTATGGGCAAATATAATGAGAAGTAGATATTAAAAACTGCAAAAACTGAGTCTATGTACAGATGAAGATTTCAATAGGAATAAATGAGCTGTTCCCCACATTCAACTACTTCTCTGATGCAACATCAGTCATTTAATGTCCACAGGATCCCATCATTCTCAGAATAAATCAAAATGATCAGTATTTCAAAATAAACATGTCTATTTGCAGAGATGCTGGCTAATCTTCTGGGACCTTGCTTCAACCTTTCCAGGCTATAGCTCAGAGTGAATGTGTAATTTAAAAAATGGCTCATCTACAAGCATGGTAGGACACATAAAGAGAACATGTTGCACCCAATGGTCCATGGCAGCTAAACTATGTCGATCCTTTCAAAAGGTGTCATCTGTCCACAGCCTACTTGTCCCACAATTATCATATAATAATGATAATTATAATTTAGAAATAAAGTCTCTTTGAGTTGAGATGGTCCAAGAAAGCTTTTAAAAGTCGAGATATATGCTGTCGATTTCAGGAAGACGTTGCATTCTTTGGCATTAATTCCTGTGTCTCAAAGACAACTTCCCCAACAGCTGAATTCATGCTATAGAATTAAACCAGAAGAAGGAAAAAAGGTATCCAAAGGAAGAAGTCCCAACTATTGCAGGGGTTTTAGATTTCTCCTTCTTTTGAACTGTGCTGCAAGCACCGATCCTGTTAGAACCTAACCAGTTTGTTGAGATGGGGCAGGTATGAGGCAAGTCTTGTGCAGCATCGAGCTGACTAGTATTGCAAACCAGCTGGTTCAAAAAGTCCTCTGACTGGAAGCATCCTAATGCAGCCCAGTTTCTATGTGGACCAAACGAGCAGAATCAACACTCCCCAAGGTTGCATCACAGAAATTGTGACTCCAAAGCTCAGATTATCCCAGCAGAAGTGTCTAAACTTGAGTAAATATCAAAGTTCACAAGAGTATCAGTAGATAAAGTTTGAGTTGATGTGACCCATCTGATTATTTATAAAGATATCCAATAATAGAAATGACACTAAGGGGGGGTGCAGTTTTAATTCATGAACAGTGAAATCTTGCTCGTGTCTACCCAGAGCTAAATTCCATTGAATTTATTTAGGCCTGTTCCTGTGTAAATGAGTATAGGATTGCAGCCTAATGCAAGTGACATCTGTTTCGAGAAAGGTAACATATAAATCGCAGCTAGATCAGTGCATGATGCAAGACTTCACAGTTTGGAAAGCAGTTCTGAATATGTTATCAGCTCATATCCATGAATTTGCACATTGGGATGTTAAACAGACATCCCAGTTTGCAACTCTGTGGATATGAGATAACACGCAATATTTGCTTTAAATCCAGTATGAAACAATAAACAGAGTTTAGTGGGTTGCCTTGTAGTATTTTATTTCTTATGCTCATGAAATGCAATTCATTTAGGACAATAACTGAATTATATGTGTGTGTGTGTGTGTGTGTGTATGTGTGACACACATAGATATATTCATATATGTACCTTAGTGCAAGGTTGATGCGCTAATTGTCTTTTGTATATTGTACTTATGAAAGATTTATCTCTTTCTTATCTGCTTCATATCTTAATACATGGAATAACACCACCCACTGGTAAGAGCAGGAGGTATTTATATCCAATTTAATTCCAGTGTAAAAAAGAATATCCATGTTAACTGTTGAGTTTAAGCTTGTTTTTAATGCTTTCTCTTTTAAGTTATAACGTTTTTTGCATGACAATATGATAGATATAAAGGAAAAAATAATATTGGCAAAATCAGACATGGGGCAAAAAGCAAAACAAAACCAAACAACAGAACTAAAAATATGTAAACCAAATATTTGCTGAAGATGCCTGTCAATTTTCCATGGTTTTCTCCTGCAACTTTGATCACTTTTCTCTGCCCAAAAAAGGTCGTGTGCATATTGTCAACTGTTCTGTAGAAATGTCACATTCAGATGAAGCTGTACACACCCACCACTCTGTGCTTTCTTTTGTGCTGGTGCCTTTTGTTCACACCACATGCATGCTACTAGCAAGGACCAACTGCATTTTTCCTAGGCTCAAAACCATGTGCTTACATGATGGACTCGTGCGCTGCTTTGAGTTGCTTATCCTTGCATGAGGGTTAACGTTGAAGAATTTCTCATGGCATTTGCATGCAGATCTTCTGCTTATACCATGGAAGTCGGCAGAAGTGTGCAAATTCAAAAGCAGACTGCATGAATATTGTGCAGTGTTTCTGGTCAGTTTCAATTCCGCAAACTGATTCAAGTCAAGAACGTAGTGATGCCAGTTTTTGGCTGTGAAAAGATGAATGCGTATGTGTTACTTAATTATATACATCTTCATGAAAGTTTCTTTTCTTTTTGAATGCCTTTTTTCCTAAGTGTGAGCATTAATACACAGGAAAGAAAACAAGAGATTTTTCACCCAAGAAGAAACAAAGCTGTTTGATAAATACAACTGCTTTCATGGAAACAGAGCCTTAAGATGTGTATTGAAATGGAACAGACAATATGCCTCCATGTCCTAATTTTAAATGACTAATACATGAAAGA